GACGCTAAAATTGAGCAGGGCCGTATTTTACTTTTCCGTCTTGCAAAAATGTAAAATAAAAGAATGTTATTGTGAAATTATTTTTTTATTACGATAAAAACATATTTTGTAAACTAAAACCATAAAATAAATGCCATACAGGGTCTCCCAAACTTTAGTGACATTTCTGGACGAAGATAGGTGAGCGACATAAACTGCGTTAACCTGCAATACAAATTAATAAATGTATTTGACTTTAAAAGAGATGTTTGCATTATGTTTAGTTCATTACATATGTCTACTGTGACACAGAGCATTAAAACAATCATAATATAAAATTATATTATACAGGGTGTCCAAATAATTGCAAATTCTTTAATAGCTAATATATATCTACTAAAAGCATTAAAAAAACTTTAAATATAAGAGGTATTTGGTATTTGAATTTGGTATTTGATTTAAAATTGTGCATCTTAAAAAGAAACCTTTTGTATTTTTGACAACTTTTGTTCTTTATTGTTCTTGTTCTACTAGTATTTAGATTAGACACCTTGTACCCTGTATTATAGCAATCTTCCTTACTTGACTTAGCACTATTCTGAATCGGATAAATTAGTTACACTTGAAGGGCTATCTTCATTAATCAAAATTACAAGTGGTTCTACTTGAACCTCTATAATATTATCCAACTCCCACATTTTTACTTCAACTTTTTGGCGAACATGGTCGATACACTTTTTCCATTTTTCTGGAGAAATTAATAATATTACTTCTTCAAAAATAATTTTAATGTCTCCAGATTTAAATGTTGAGTTTTTATCTGCTACGTATTGTTTAACGTCAACCTAGATTAATTCAATATTATGTTGTTTTGCTGCTTAGCCATTTCATCTATTATATACCTATCATAATGTTTATGTTGCTTACCAAGTTTTAGAAGTTGGATCTTAAGCATTTGGTAGTCGAATTCAATTTTTTTCCCTTATAGCCATTTTTAAATATCACCTTTTTTAGACGTCGTTGTAGGTATTTTTTCCAGCTTTCTCGAATTATAATGCAGTTATCTTCTTATTTTGGTAGGGTGTTTGAAAACCACTCTTTGAACGATTCGCCACACGTTTCTTCATGGTAGTCACAGGATTTTTCAACTTAAATACATAAAGTGCATTAGAGACAAAGCCTTCTTCACTTCCAATATGGCATATAATGAGCTGTTTTTACGCACATACCTAATGGGTTTTTAAAACCAGTTAAAAGTTCATCCAAAAAGGCTTGTCTGGATGATAAAACCGACATATCGAAACATACTTTTGATTTGGTGTCGCCTGCGTTAATCCAAGTCTCATCAAGATAATATATTTTTTGCTCTTCTTCTCTGTGCCGTTTTATTTTTTGTGGCTTAGGACGAAACAATTTCATTTTGTCTAAAAGCAAACTATGTTTTCCTCGAGTTTTAAATTAAGGGTTTTGAAAAGCTTGTAAAATGTAGCTCGCTTAAAAGTAGACAAATATGGATCATCGTTGACTTCTTATAAAACCTTATCGATTGTTGGAAGTTAATTTCTAAAGAAGAATTGATGTACTTTGCGCCTTATTGCATTTTTATCAAAATCATCCACAGAGCCACTAATTTGTTTATAACGTAGCTTTCTTTTTGGTTCAGAAAATTTATGAATCTGCCTATACTTCTTACCTGTTTTATCAGCAACTCTCCTTTCAACATCATGTACCAACATATCAGGGTTCTATAAAATGTAATGCTTATAAATATTAAGAACGATTTCTTTAGTACGGATGACCAAATGTCCCTTTTTCGGTCGCTTTTTAGAAGGAGTAAAAACATTTTTCTGGACTTCATCTGCTGTATCTGTGGAGGACATAGTGTCACGCAGCAGTTACAAAATATAGTCAATTAAATGTCCATAAAATAGAGTAAAAAATGTTTAAACTAACAACAACCACAAAAACAAAAAAAATAAATAACACAATATATGTATATCTAAACTATAATATAATGAATTATAATCAATCAAACATACAAAATGTCCAAACTAACCAACACGGTGAATGCTACCAAAACGCCGTTTATAATTATCCAAATTGAACTGAATTCGACTTTGACAAAAAATATTTGCGCGTCGTCTAAATGACTGACGACCGATTAACCAATAGAAGCGCAAAGAAAATGCCACGTGAGCTGTTGCTGGATGGGAGAGATTGTTTTGACGCGGCGTAAATGAAATCTGAATAGACTTTAGTGTACCTCTAAATATATTTACAATTGTGTTATAATTTTTGTGAATGCAAAAATAAAACTCATTTTTTTGTTAAAAGTTTTTATTAAAAAAAAAAAAAAAACAATATTTATTAAATATCTTTAACAAAAAATTTAAAAAAATTTAAAAAAAAATTTAAAAAAATTTAAAAAAATTTAAAAAAATTTAAAAAAATTTAAAACAACGAAACTTGCAGGGAACTTGGAAAAAAGTTACAATTAAAAGTAGTAATTAAAAAAAAAAGTAATCAGAATCAGAATTTAAAAAAAAATATGATTCTTTTGTGGAATTAAATTGTCATTGCACAAAAAAATTAAGTCATTTTTTTTTAATGGGAATTGGTAGTGCTCTGTCGTAAGCCAGAATTAGAGTTACATTATTGCCTCGATGGGGCCTTGTTGTTTTTTAATATTAATACTATCAAACTCTTCCTCTTTGTACGAGTTCTTGTGAACAATTTTATTAGGTTCAGTTTTTCTAACTTTAATTATTTTAATATAATTAAATAAAACTTTTCCTTTTTCTCATTTACATTAATGTTAGTGCCCATTATTTTAGTTATTTTTTCCAATCAAGAAAATCTTCAGTTGACATCTCATTGACTTCGTATGGTTTACCTCGTTTTTTAGCTGATTTAGCAATGGTTTTAGTTCAGATGGCACATAAAGCGGGCCATTTTTAAGTACTCTTGATCTGTCCTTTTCAATTCACGAATTCATGGAATCGCCCTCATTTTCCGTGTGTCCAATGATAAGATATTTATGGTTAATTTTTTCTATGTTATAGTTTTCCACGGTGTATTAATACATAGCCATCAAAAATTTATTTTGATTTTAAGCTGTACAAATATTTCATTAGCTCCTCTTTTGGCCTCTCCTTCATGCCACATGTAGCAAAACCCAGATTTTTCTTTTATGTTAAAGATCGTAAAATTGAAAACGTTAATTTTACTTTTATAGTAAAATGTTGATACGTTACTATTAGGCAATGGAGTAACACCCTGTAAATCATAAGAACATAATATAATATTATTATTTTCATCTTGTAATGCCAAATTTTTATCTTTTTTTTTTCAGACGAGACAGAACCTTTTCCTCTTAGTGCTTTTTAAAATGTTTTTTCTGGCTTCTTTTCCGTCAGCACTTAAATTTTTATACGTTTCGCAGACAGAACATAAGTCTTTTTTCGGCTGAAATAAACATAAATTAAACTTTGTATTAAAAATGTTTGAGTAAATGTATTGTGTAACGAAAGTTCTACCATCGCTTATACATTTTTGTTTAAGAGAGTTGATAGTCGTTGCTGACTAGTTAATAATTAAACCAGTAATTTGTGGGTAATGCAGCAAATGAAAGATTACTTTTTTAAGTTTATTCCAAGCTTTCGGAAATGTTTATTTCCATCATCAGGGAGACTAAAATAAAATAATACCACATATTATGATAACGTAAGGTAAAAATTTTTTTTACTTACATCTTAATTAAGGTTGTTCATTTTGGTGGTATTATTCAGTTTAGTGTAGAGATACAAAATGGACAAGCTGAAGTCAATTACAAAATAATATACACAAAAAATAATAACTACGATACTTTAAAACTAAAAAAATATAAATATCGAAAGGTCAATTTGACAAGACAAGTAAAATTTTAAATAAATAACAAGTTATTAGAGGTTAGGAAATAAATGTGGATAATGCTATGTTTACATAACATTAATATTTTTTAAATGTTCAAAGAGTGATTTTTATATTAAATTAGCTCTGTATTATTTAAATTATGAATTTGGTTTGGTTTATTGTCCAAATCTAATAAATAAGAATAAATTTCACTTAAATTGTTAATATCTGTCTTTTTGTTCATAGAATTTGGTTCCTGTGAAATGAAAGCCATCTCCAAGAAAAGTCTTTTATGGTAGTTATTTTCAATGGCTAATATTTTAATTTCGTCATAATTTATATTATGTTGATATTTATTAGCATGTTCAGCCAAAGCAGACTGCATCCGGAACGTTGTGCTTTGGCTGAACATGCTAATAAATATCAACATAATATAAATTATGACGAAATTAAAATATTAGCCATTGAAAATAACTACCATAAAAGACTTTTCTTGGAGATGGCTTTCATTTCACAGGAACCAAATTCTATGAACAAAAAGACAGATATTAACAATTTAAGTGAAATTTATTCTTATTTATTAGATTTGGACAATAAACCAAACCAAATTCATAATTTAAATAATACAGAGCTAATTTAATATAAAAATCACTCTTTGAACATTTAAAAAATATTAATGTTATGTAAACATAGCATTATCCACATTTATTTCCTAACCTCTAATAACTTGTTATTTATTTAAAATTTTACTTGTCTTGTCAAATTGACCTTTCGATATTTATATTTTTTTAGTTTTAAAGTATCGTAGTTATTATTTTTTGTGTATATTATTTTGTAATTGACTTCAGCTTGTCCATTTTGTATCTCTACACTAAACTGAATAATACCACCAAAATGAACAACCTTAATTAAGATGTAAGTAAAAAAAATTTTTACCTTACGTTATCATAATATGTGGTATTATTTTATTTTAGTCTCCCTGATGATGGAAATAAACATTTCCGAAAGCTTGGAATAAACTTAAAAAAGTAATCTTTCATTTGCTGCATTACCCACAAATTACTGGTTTAATCATTCTTGTTTATATAACCGGTACATAATGCTTAAGTTAAGCGATCCTTACAAAAATTCTCGTTCTGTAGAACCCCTACAATAATGGGACTCTTTCCTCGGAAAACTATTAATATGTTTTATTACATCTGCAATCAAATTTGCATTAATTTTATTTGGTCGATTTAAAGAGTGTTGTTCTTTTGTGCAAACCCTAACTTTTTAATCATTAACGTTAAAAAAGTATGCACACGTAAATGTTTTCCTTTTATATTGTTTTCAGATTTGTTTGGCCTTTTTTCATTGTGACGAGATAAAAACTCTCTCTGAAGAGTCTTATCAGCAAGCTGGTAATAGGTGTTAAATAAGTCTTTCCTACAAATTTTTGCTGGAACCTTCTCTGAGCATTTAACTAAACATGTTTCACCACAAGTTTTTGGTACAGACTTAGCTTTGTGCAGCTTTCCTAGTCTAGAAACATATTCCTTTCCTGAATTAATTTTTTGTTTTTTTAAGTTTCTTTTCCAACAGTCCATATTTTTTATTCGCTTTTTTCTTTTTCGACGTAAATCGTTTTTTTTTATTTCTTCCACGTTTTCACTATTATTATTTATGATTTCTTCAATCTCTATTTCATCACCGCTTGTTTGTTTTTCTGCTATTTTATCAATTTTCTCATAATTATTGATCTTATCAATGTTGGGTAGAAAATCTGGATCTTGTACATTATCGTCGGCTAAAAAATCACTTGGACTTTTCCTAGGGGTTCCAATATTTGGGTCATCACTGGTTTTACTTTTTTGGATCTTAAAAATGGGCACCGGCATGAGTTCCGTTGGTTCATTGTTTCTCAGTTCTTCTAGAAACATTTCAGTTTGGTAAAGTATATTTTGAACTTGATCTAAACACGATGAAACTGGCGACTCATTATCTTTATCAAAGTTTTGGTTTTCCAACCACTGTGCAACATTTTGATTTTTTTCTAAATTTGTGGTAAACGTTTCAGCTTTAAGATCAATAACTAAAACAATATATTTAATTAATAAAAATAATAATTAAATATAGCTGGAAACAAAATATTTTTAAATTTCTACCTTGGCAACACCGCATTGTAAACACGTTTGAGAAAGATTAAATTTTTTTTATTACTTTTAAAAATTTAAAAACATACAGTGGCAATATCTCTTGAACCAAAAACAAGAACTCACCCCATCGACCCTTTACCTACACACTATAACTTACCTTTATTTTTTTCGTTCAGGACATTATTCCACATAGTAAGTTTTTAAACACCAATATACACCTTTTTATTTTACAGAAGTAAACATTACCGAATCTTCTCCACGTCTAGTATTTACATGGGAAGTTAAAATTGTAAACAACTGAAGTAAAAGCCCGCCTCAATTAGTAAGATAACCTATAAAAATAAGCGCTAAGCTACCAAAAGTAAACAAATTAATTTTATTTACCATTTTTGATTTCTTGCTCAATCTGGACATTGTCACTTTTATTATTTGCTAAAAACACGCTCTAGAGAAGACATTTAATTTTTTTATATTTAAAACTCTTGATTATTCCTAAGACCTAAGGCCCTCACGCTTTAATAGTTTTAAACAAACTGACGACCACGTCAATTCAGCACTTATTTTTATGAAACAATAGGACATGTGTAATATAACTTAGTGTTGCATTATCATTTGTAGTCAAACTGTCAAAAACAAGAAATGGACCATTAGGATATCTGGGTTGTCCTCATTGATAAGGCAACGTAAGGATACGTCATATGTATTATTTTTGATTTACAAGTTTTTATTGTACTATTTCTGGTTAAGTATCATTATTTGAACTATAAAAACATTAATTTCCATTTTTATTGACATTGACTTAAAAGGTGGTGGAAGGCTGAGGTTATAAAAAAAGGGGTGTAAAAGCTTAAATATGCCCGGTTTTCAGCCGAGAGGTGCTGAATAAAGTAAATCAAAGAAATAAAATATAACTGATTTAATTATCACTCAAGTGGCTATTAAGCGCTGGAGAGTATATTATTTGCAAAATTGCAACTAATCAATGACCATGGCATAACTAACTTGGGGCCGATTCCACCATTGGGCTTAACGAAGTTTAAAATGACATTTTTATATAAAATATAATTTTGATCTTCAATTAATAGTTTAAACTTTAACACAATGGTGGAATTAACCCTAAAGCGTTGAAATCATTCACAGAAAAAATAAATAGTACATTTTTGGTTCACATAAGCGACAAAAGTTCGATTTATTGGATCAGTCCTCACACTTTTGCACTAGGGCACATAAATAGCCCAATCTTTAGTTTTCCTATGAGCCCAATGCTTTCTGTCTTTAAATCGGAAAGTGCAAGATCGCAAACGTCAACTAATCTAACCTTACGTTAATTAATAGCTTTCTCGAAATTAAGAACAAATATTCATACTCTAAAAGCTCGATAATCAGATACGAAACTTAATGCAAGACTCGCGGAAAATGGCTAATAAGCAATCTCTGTGTAGGTAGATGCACTATTCAGGAAATAAAAATGTGGATTAATCTTACTTGGTCTTGGTACTTTTGTAGATTCAGACTGAAAGGTGTATATTTTCATTCAAGACATTCAGTAAATCAGCGAAGCCACAACCAGCGGTGTGCAGGTGCACTTCTAACAAATGTAAAATATGAAATGATCTTACTTGAGACCTAGGTATAGATCCAATGACGATATTATGGTGGTTGGTTTGATCTGAGCTTCTCACCATCTGCAGAGATTATGACTACTTATGTAAAGGCCTACCAAAATAACACACATGCACCACAAGCGTGCCGGTCCAATTTAATTGGTCTATGCACAATAATCATGCATGTATGATTGAAAGTCAGACAAAGAATGCAAAGATAAAGTTGAAGTCTCAATCATAGTTAAAGTCACAGATATAGTTAAAGTCACAGATAAAGTTAAAGTTAACAGTAAAAGAATTGTTTGACGAGTTAGGAAAAGTATCCACTGTAAGCGCTTTTCTTAACCACTAAGGTAAAAACTAGAATAGTTCCTAATACACAATTTCTTCGCTAGACAAAATAAGAAATACATTTGTGAGAGTACTTCCCAAGTGTTTTTTCAAAAGCTGTAAGAACAAAATTGACGAAAATGGCCTAATCCAAGTTCAAATTCTAAAACTTAAACATTAAAGATAAGTATCTTACTGTAAAACAAGTAAAACCCCGTTGTGGTTAAATAATTCATTACCTGGGTGGAGGTAGAATAGGGACCAAAGTTTAGCAGAAAAAGCCACTAGAAAAGGTGAACAAAACAGACTGGGGCATATGAACGTCAAGCAAATATTGTAAACGCAAATAATGTGTGCTGTGATTAAATAAAAGTGTACAAGGAATAAAGTTTTAATATTTTCTTATCCATATCTATGAGTGATATTTATTTTTAATACTAAACAAACGATTATGATTTTGTTGCTAGTCTCATTAAAAAAGACTAAGTGAGTATTGATGTTAAATATTTATTATTATAAGAACTTATATACAGTATGTTCATAATATGCACTGTACAAACTTAAATATATTCCTGAATTCATTTCAAGCATAAAATGTCCTATGAACAAATATCCAATTCTACATGGTTACCAAGCTACAAGAGTTTAAATATCAAAAGATATATTAACATAGTATGACATGTGTTCGAATATGTCGAAACACAGCACTGAATGTTTGGTGCCTTGGAACTTGTCGATATGGAAATCGTCGCCGATACTCCATTCCATACAAGCAGCTCGCGAATATTCATGACACATTAAAGGTACACTATTTTGGCATATTATTAATTCAAAAACAGCAAAGACGTGTTGCAAATTTAAATTTATCATAAAAAGGAAACGTAGTTGACAAGTGTAGTATTGAGTAGCCAACTGACGTTTATAATAATTATTGTTGATAAACAACCAAAAGTTTTGAAAATGTGATATTTAAGTTTGTCTAGTACGTCTTGCAACATCCTGTATATGTTACTGATCATTTTAGAGATGTAAAAAATGTAATCTGGACAGCTACATCTCGGAAAAACAAATGCAGATGTAGTAGATGTGTCCAATGTGGATAAACAATTGCTTGAGATGTAAAAAATGCATCAGATGTGGATATTCTAACGCAGCAATAGTTGGTAGGATTTTGACAGTAACACCTATGAAGATCAGTATTGTGGCAGTACCAGGGTGCATCAACGATGATCCTTAATACTTTATTCTGGAAACGTTATATAAATTCGATGTCACTTTTACTGGCACATCCCCAAAGCTTGCGATTCGCTTCATTTTCACCAATTCCTTTGATCGCACTAATCTGAAACAAATTATAGGTAATTAAAAAGGTATATTAATATTATTTTAAATGCACTATAATAAAACAAACAATACTCATGCATACACAAAACATGAAGCTCTACTTTTTAATCAGCTATAGAACTAATAAATAAAATTGGTGGAAGGACAGCAAATAATGTAGGTTATATTTAAATAGAAATAAGAATATAAAATGTCTATAAATTTGATAAACGAAATGGCGTACGATTAATGTACTTCTCAAGAAAATGCTTGGAGCATATACAGAAGGTTACCAATTATGCTTATTGACAAACTGTATCCGCTACGTTTTTCAGGATTTTTGGAAATCTATAAATATTATTTCGTATCAAAAAGTATTATTTCAATATAGGTAGGCCCAAAAGTTGATAGGATGATTTTGTTTTGCATTTTTAAAGGCATACTTTTACACATTCCTGTTATAATACTGTCCTGTATAATATTTACAATTTTGATACTAACCTATGAAACGTTATTCCAGTCGATTTTTCACAAAAACGTCTATCGCTAGAGCAGGAACGTATAACACAGCAAGGCATTATATACTTTAAAAGTTTGTAACACTCGAAATTTGCACAAACACAAATTAAATTCAAATTTAATTACACAAATGACAGTAAAAATATAACCCATAAAATTGACAATTTGCTTACACATGTCGTATCCCTAGGTTGCCAGATCAATGGTTGTCCTAGGTTACATTATATAACTTTGATTACAGAAAATTGGGTTACCCAAGGGTAAGTTTCTGAAAAAAATATTTTATTTTTAACATATCTTAGTGTTTCACTTAAATAGAGGGTTTATTACGAATAATTTGACGCTAATATCTCAAAATCCTTTTTTTTTTTTTTTTTGATAACCTACTGTTGCTGTCTGAAAATGTCATTCCTTGTCAAGAAAAAAACGGATAGTTCGAAAAGGTTTTAGAAGGTTGAATGTTAAGGCAAGCTATATAAGTCGGACCTCCTGACGCAAGGGGGAGTTTTATGACAGAAGTTTTACGTTAATGTTATCAGTTGTATAATTGAATTGTAAATGTTGAATTACCCAAAACCTGCGTAATAATATTTTTAAAGTTTTTCGAAGACTGAAATCGATAAAAATACTGAACCAGCACCTGGGCCATCAAGCACTCAAAAGCAACTGACGAGCACAGATCCTTGTTCTGAAACATTAGTACCACCTCGCCATCCGAACAGTCCAGTACCAGGACCATTTAACCTTCAAAAACAACCGAAAACACGTTCTGGTTCCGTACACCCATAACCCAACAAGAAGGCAGATAAATTACCAAGTTGTGAAAAAAACCTTTTAAAGAAGTTTTAAAAACCGCCGAGGTGCCGCCATAAACATCGCAAGTTAGGAGAAAGGCTCTTAATTACAAAACACAACACGTCACTAAAAACTTATTTCAGACAGAAATGTCGACATCCCAAAATTCTTGTCAATAGTAAAAATCCAAAACAAAAATTGATCCCTAGTTTTGTTACCTTTGTCAATCAAGCGAAAAATTAGACATGCGTTCTTATATTTTATGCCAGATTTGGGTTCACGAAGAATGTACCGGTAGGGTTCTCGATGATCTTTATCTGTACAAATTGTTCAGAATAGATAAATCTTACATCGGGGCCTTATTTTCCGACTGTGCTGAAAATAAGGCCCAGTTGATATTTTTTTAAAAAAAATATTTTCTTTTTCACTTTTTAATTTTTTTTTAGTTTTATTGATTGAAACTTGAAGAAACATGCTTATGTTTTTGTTACTGCAATGAAAATTTAATTTAATTTTTTTTTAATTTTTTTAACTTAGGTGGGCTTTATTACCCTCGACTACCTTATTTCAATTTTTCTTCGCATGTTCTTGATATAATTACATTGTAGTTTCCTTGAAAC